ACCCACACAGAGGCCCTCAACAAGCGAGAAAGCATGGAGTTGCAACTGGCTTCTGTATGCTTTGGGGGATACTCTATTGTTCGATCTTCCAGGCGTCCGAGACCGCCCAAGAGACCCGAAAACCTCCCCCAAAACTACCTAGGAGAACCCCGAAACGGCCAAACAGGGTCCCAAGATAACCCGAAGAGAGTCCCACGACGTGCGACGGCCCAAGCTGGTCCCAAAACGCCCCTCGAAGAATCCCACCAGCCCTCTGGGCGTAGGTGGCTTAAGGCGTTTCCTCTTCCACCCCCTTCTTCCCCTTCGGGGAGGAGTTTTACTCCTCCCCCGACCCCCTCCCCTGGACCTGGACGGGGGTTTCGCGAGGGGTTGGAGCGTCCAAGATGGCCTCGGCGAGGAAGCCAAAATCATTGGTTTTACTATGGTTTGGGCAACATGTTGGCCTTTCCGAGAGGGATCCCCTTCTTTGATCGATCTCCTGAAAGATGGCCCCAAGAGGCGCCCAGGAGGCCCCAAGAGGCCCCAAGATGGCCCCAATATGGCCCCATGTGGCCCCAAGAGGTCCCCAAGAGGCCCCCAGGATGCCCCCAAAAGGCTCCCAAGAGACCCCCAAGAGGCCCCCAGAGGCCCCCCAGAGGCACCCAAGACGCTCCAAGAGGCCTCGGCGAGAATACCAAAATCACGGATTTTACAAAAAGGTTTTAGCCACATTTTGGCTTCCTGGGGGAGGGGGGGGGGGGGGGGGCACTGCTGCTCCAGATGACTCCAAGAGCGCCTGGGGGAGCCCACGATGACCTCCAAGGTGGCTCAAGATATCCCAAAATGCCTCAAGATGGCTCGCACGATGCTCCAAGAGGCCACAAGATCGCTCCAAGACGGCTTCAAGTGGCCAAAGAGCTCACCCGGGAGGCCCCGAAGAGGCCTAAATCCTTCCAAAACCGCAGGAAAATCAATGTGTTGGGCTTTCTCGCCTTTTCGCTTCCGATGGCCATCCGAGGCTTCAAGATAGCTCCAAGTTGGCCCAAGAGGGCTCCAAGAGCGCTTCCAAGGCTCCCAAGAGCGCTTCATAAGAGCCCCAAGAGGCGCCCAGGAGGCCCCAGGAGGCCCCAACAGGCGCCCTAGAGGCCTCCAAGAGGCCCCAAAGAGACCCCCAAGAGGCCCCAAGAAGCTCTCCGAGGCACCCAAGACGCTCTAAGAGGCGTCTGGGACCGCCAAGAGGCCCCCAAGACGCTCCAAAAGGCCTCCACTGGGGAACCCTTCCTCTGTGTGCTGCCCACTTCCCTGATCGAGGTACTTCCTCTGGGCATCGTTTCTGGATGGGCTCGTGGGTTTTTTGGATCGCGAACGCAAGCGGAGAGGGATCTGGCCCTTCGGGATCCGTCCGCCGGCCAAGGATCCCCAGACGGATCCCGAAGGGCCAAGGTTTTTTTTGGCCGAAGGGCCAAAAAAAAGAAGGTCTGCCCTCACTTGGCACATGTCGGCGTTTGCACTCGAAGCTTGCTAAGACACGCCGCCTGAGCTCCTTGGCCCCGGCAGCTCGCGGGGCAGTCTAGTCAAGCCCTCTCCTCGCCCCGCCCCCGGCCCAGCACCCTACCCCCCCCTCCTCCTCCGCACGCGCACGCAGGAGAGCGCGGGGCGGGGCATGATGCCAGAGGAGGGCGGAGGCGAGCACGGCGAGGACAGGCGGCGAGCGCGGAGCTCCGGGTGGCCGGAGCGCGCGGCTGGCGACCCGAGGGGCGAGCGGGCGCGGCCCGGGCTTCGGGGCCCACAGGAAAGGGCCCTCAGCAGCTCGGCGTGAAGATCGGCGGCTCGTCGCCGTACCCCTCCAGGGACCGCCGCAGCACCGAGGGCCTGGGCCAATCGTCGCGCGCGACGGGGGGGCTTGCGCAGGCGCCCCTGCAATTCTTCAACGCGTGGTTGTAAAACGGTTCCGCCTCCCGCAACTTGCCCTGGGCTCGGAAGAATGCTGCGAGGTGGCTCGCACTCCTGACAGTGTCGGGGTGGTCAACCCCCAGCAAGTTTTCTCGTACCTCAAGGACCAGGCGGTACAGCTGCTCCGCCTCGCCGAGCCTGCCCCGGGCGCGCAGCAGGCGGGCAAGGTTGTTCATGCTCGCCAGCGTGTTCGTGTGCTCCGAGCCGAACTCGCGCTCGAACCCGTGCACGGCGCGCAGGTAGAGCGGCTCGGCCTCGTCCAGCTTGCCCTGCATGTGCAGCAGCGCGCCGAGGTAGCTGGCGCTGCGCAGCGTGTCGGCGTGGTCGGGCCCGAGGCTATCCTCACGGCCCTCGAGGGCGACGCGGTAGAGGGCCTCCGCCTCCTCCAGGCGCCCCTGGGCCTGCAGGAGGCCCGCGAGGTTGCTCAGGCTCCGGAGGGTGTTGGGGTGCTTGGCGCTGCAGGTGGCCTCGCAGACGCGCAGCGTGCGGCGGAAGAGGGCTTCGGCCTCGTCAAGCTTGCCCTGCGCCTGAAGAAGGCCTGCGAGGTTGCTCATGCTCCTGACGGTTT